CTGTTAAGTCAGGTTATGCGTTTCTGCTAAAGTGGCACTCGATAAGGATCACGCGAGTTCGGACGTAGTGCGACGAGGTGTCGACACGCCGGTCACCTCATTCGCCGCGGAGGTAACAGCGAATGCACTGTTGACCTCCTCAAATGTGACTCAGCTCGTAACTTCGTGTGGCATGGCGAAAATAAGCTTAGCCGACTCCTCAGTGACGGATCCCGCTGTCGCACTTGCTATTCGCCGTTGTGTCGCCAAACTCAAAGACGCAGCTTGAAATGTGCACGAGCAATCAGCATGATGACGGACCACAGTCATCGTTGCCGGCGAAGTCCAGTCCTGACACAATAGAGTGCAGCGTAGATACGACTGCAACACAGACACGAACGAACTGAGCATGGTGAAAAGTAAGTTATCACATGTTACAGTAAGGTCACAGGCAACCGAAGTGTCCGGCGCCTGTCCTGAATGCGGCAGCGTTACTTCAGGACATTGATGAGGCGCTAGATACATCAGTTTGTACTGAGTGTAAGCTTACTGTCGGGGATCAGCCCGAGGTCTCTGGTTGCACAGCTTCTTCATGAGAATCGTCTGCGTCGTCAACTGACCGGCTGTGGCGACTAGATGCACCGATCGAAACAGCTGACCAATACAATCCAGAATAGGACCGCGCGAGACGCTGCAGAAGCTGAGGAGGAATAGGCGCGAGGCATCATCAGTTCTCAGCCAGCCTGTCACATCTGGAAAATCGCGATCTGGTAGCAAAATGTAGAATGCACAGCGGTGCCAGGTGCCGCAATGTTGCAATGATGCATTCCTTAGCTTGACCTCAGGGTAGATCATAGCGCCACCGCGTAGCACAGAACTGGTCGACCCGTGCATCGCAACAATGCAGACGAGTGAAACCGTAGCTTGCTGCGCCATCCAGGAACTACTCTTTGAGGCAAAACTTACAGTGGCTCCTTTACATGGAAACAGTCACTGGCAGATAGTAGTGAGAGACACTGCGGGAGCGCTGGCACATTACTACGGGCGTAAAGCAGTCAACTTTAAGCGTGTCCAACGATTAATCAGTCACCAATGATTGGAAAGGCATTAATCGATGTTGCACAATATACAGTAAAGCCACGTCGCGAGTGTAATCTGCCGAACAACAGTTATGATTGTAGTCTACACCACTCTCTACCATTTTCGTCGATAAATTCCTTTCCAACACCTCTACAGTATTTCCTACCTTACAAGTCGCATACATAAGAACGTGATTATTGGATAGTAAACACAAGTAAACTGCAGACCTCTACTATCCTTTTATTCTAAACACGATAACACTTACAACAATACAATATAGCCATCTTACGAACCTGTGGTCAGCAGCAACTTGTAATGACATATGAGAAACACTAAAGGACATAATAGCGGATGCAGAAAAAAGATAAAATCAATACGCGCTCCAGCTAGCACGAACCACAAATGAACGTACCAAGGGAGAAACAAAGAAAGACCTCATATGCAAAGCAGTGAAACACAGAAGCTGTATAATAAAATTCCCAAAAAGCAGTTAGGACATTAAGCGACAATAAGTCCTGAAACTGTCCTATTCCTTTACCAGTCTCAGATACCAGGAGTAAGCATCTAAGGCCAAATACGCCTCAGAGAGAGGTACACCCCGCGAAACTTCAAAAGATCTCTTGCGCTGTTTCTGACAGTGCTGACCCGGCTCTTACCAGTCCGTTCGAAAAGGAGGAGGTCTGACCTAAGCTCATTCGGATGAACGAGTCGGTACCAGGACCAAACAAAGTTACCTATAACATGCTCAAAAAGAAGGATCCTGGCTTTATTCCCTTGACAGAAGTTGTCAACTCCTGCCAACGCTACCAAGCCATCTCACAAGAATGGAAGGAAGGTACTTGAATCCTAATACATAAAGTGGGGGACCTGGAAGACAAAAAACCGGAGACAAACAGTAAAGAGTAGTACCTTAATAAAACTATACTCTGAAGTTCTAAGTGACAGGATCAGAAGTTGGCTGGTATTCGACAACACCGATAGGAATATTCAGAAAGGCTTCGGCAGGGTGAAAGGTTGTGTTGAACACGTTTACGCTGCCCAAGTTAATATACAGAACACCAAACTGAAAAGCAAAGAGCTGGCCATAGCATGGCTCAACATCAGCGATGCTTTGGGTTTGGTCCCCATTAGGTTCTTTTCCACAACTTAGAACAGATAGGGCTTTTACAGAATACCTTGCATATAGTAAAAAACATGTACACCGGCAACAGAGTATGGATTAGAACCGCTGCCGACATCTCAGATGAAATCCCTCTGAGTACAGGTGTCAGACAAGGCATTCGACTTTTTCCCCTGCTTTTCAACATCGATCTGTCAGCCAATACCCAAAAAACATCGAGAAGGTACGACGTTAACTGTGAGAGGGCAGATGTTTTGGCATATGCCGATGATAACTTGTTTTCGCCAGTCTACAAGGATCACTCGAAAATGCAGTGAGCGGCCCGCAGAAATGCCGAATTGCTAGAAAAACTTTAATAAAGTCATTCCGAAAATCTCCATTTCAATATTCATCTATCAACAGTTCAACATTCATCCATTCATCATTCAATATTCATCAATCAACAGTTCAACATTCCTCTTCTTGCTCGATACGAAGCTGTTCCCTACCTCGATAAAAGGATATAAATGGGGGGTACATAGTATAAATGCAGACATGCCGCTGTTAGAGGACATTCTACTACATGCAGAGTATATGTTTAAGTCCAAGTTAGCCGATTGGCAGAAACTCATAGCACATCGCACATTCATGGCATAACACAAATACCACTCCATGTAAATGACCGTATGACGGCATCATTGGAGCTTGTCAGGCAATGTCTACATGTCCCGCCTAGTGCCTCTATGCACTGGTTACACGGGGAACCGAAGCAGGGGACACAGGACTTTCAATCCACGTACCGACCATGTAATTCTCAGAGTTGGTCTAGCTTTCAATTTCCTTTGGTCTAACTCTGATAAAGTTGCAAAAATTGCAACGACAAAACTAAAGGGCCACACTTCCCGATATCTGTGCATTCCACTGCAACACATAACTCGAGAAAACATTTCTTCATACCTCATTTCCACTGATGATTTCCAGTTGCAAGTACGGTGAAATACGTAGCAGGACGCGTGTCAGCAACTAAGATTCCTTCAGAAGAAGTTGAGGATAACTATCCCTTTCTTTGAATCTCCTGCCTCTGCTACAAGAACACTCGGTAACTAAACCTTTGAGTGAACATGCATACGAAATGGACAGCTCTGTATAGACCTCTAGACCTTGGATCGATCTTTCAAAGCGATGCGGTGGATGGAGCAATCGGCTCAAGGCAAGGTAGCTGAATGTAGTTCACGGAATACGGTCTCAAACTATTTCTTGTTCAATGGATATCAGCCACGAAGCCTATCGTTGTGCTCACGCTGCATGCCTCAAATCTTCTCCCCACCCGCGCCCACGCCCGTTCAGGCACGGCATCTTGCCACAAGTATTTACACTAAGCATAAGCACTGCTGCACACACTCAGCCAGTACATGATAACACACAAACAGAGAATACGTTAAAAGACACAACAGTATACTAGACAGGATCATCGTAGGATTGCCATCATCGAAACTCGCATCAATCAGACAATGCCATTTGTGAACTCCACCCTGTATCCGGATATTGCTGTTCTGAACCATACCACAAAGATGGCGAGCATTATAGACATTGCTCTTCCCTTTGAAAATAGATGTGTGGCATTTGACGCAGTATGACAAAAATATAAATTGAAACTGCACTACAAAATCAAGAGTATCGCACAACGTTAAACGCAATCATAGCTGGGGTACTCGGTTACTGAGATAACGCAAACGATAAGTTTCAGACCTAAAATTGTAAAAACGTAGTAAAAGCTTTGAAAAGAGGACACTATCACGACATTTTGCAAGATTTACAACACCCATAGAAGTTTCAGGCATTGAAGCACTTCAGGTACTCATAATCAATCATCAATCCAGGAAAACAAGAACAACAGGAAGAAGACCAAGAAATGGGGAAGAAAGATGCCGGCCAAATACCCTGGCTGTCTAATTGTATAAATGTATATAACTGTAAACGACCAACCTCAAAATTATTCGCAAGTTATTTAAACTCAATAAACCTTCTGAACTTTACATTGCGTTCGTTGGTTAACATTCTGGTCAAACAGATAAACAACTGATTTGCTGTTAAGTATGTACCTATCGGGAAACAGTGTTTACTTGTTGGATAAGTAAAGTAAAGTGCCTTCAAGTAGCTGTTTATTTCCAGTCAAGCCGTGATGATGCTACGGTCGATGTAGGGAAACGCGTCGGTCGGCAATGAATCTTTTACCATCTGCTGCTTTTGGTGTCCTGAACTATAAATCGTTCAAACTCATCTTTAGAATATCCATCGAGTGTTAGACAGGTTGTTGCGGAACTACCAGGATCTGAAAGTGGGTTCATTATCATCATCTGCAGCAACAGCAGCAGCACTTTTAGGTATACTGCTGAATTGAAGCTTAAGACTGCTGTTTTCTGCAGCATTTTTATTCAGCAAATTTCTTTAGCTCATCCTGCCATCGACCTTTGGCTCTTCCGACGGGCCGCTTACTTTCTTTTGAAACCCAGTCTAATATCTCTCTGGTCCAGCAGGGGTCCTTTTTTCGTGCAGCGTATAATGCCCTTTGGCACTTTTTAGCTCCTTCACTCGCGCAATGATGTGGCAGACTCTTCTTTGTCCGCTTACCCATTCATTCATCTTCCTATCTTTCCTTGTTATTCCCAACTCACATGCGGGATTGCGTAGTGTGAAGTTCATGAATAATTTTTAGGCTTAGCGTCCACCTTTCGCAGTTATACGTTAGCCCTGGTAGCATACACTAATCGGAAACCTTCCGTCTCAAGCACAATGGCAGTTTCCTGGATAGGAAAATTTTCAGCCTCCTAAAAGTGGCCCAAGCCATTTTAATTCTTCGTTGCTTTCTCCGTTGCAAAGATGAAGTGTCCCATGTAAATGTGGGTTTGCATATCTTCAAGCCTAAGTTCGTTGACTTCAACTAACCGTGCGGTTACTTCCTCGAAGGAGGGGAGCTACCAGCTGCTAATATTGAATTCATTCATTCGTTATTTATTTAAGCTTTCAAATCCATTTAATTATCGCATAGTTGCGATCAATGCGGTGACATTCGCTCTTGCTCACTCATTGTCTGTGAAGTCAGAAACTGGACAGTTACTGAGTAGTAGTCATCACTCTTGCCGTTGCCATAAACTCATGATAAAGATTTCTGAAAAATTACACATGCAGTAGTCAGCTTTACCTTGAATAAGTTTCTACGAAGGACGTTTTCTGAATGAAATGCAAAATATATGCATCCAATGGGATGTCCGATGTATCGGCTTCCATTATACACCCATGATAGATTTCTATTTGTAGTGTTCTTCATTCACGGTTCTTACAGAGTTGATTTTTGATTCAATGCCAAAAGCAAAGGGTGTCTACTTTATGAAAGCAAGAGCTACACTTACGTACTGGATAAGCATAGCATATAATCCACTCCTTCTCCTACTGTTTTTTCCAGTTTAGAAAGAAGAAATCTGTCTGATCCTGCTAAAATTTACAGCTAAAATGTTGAAAATAATCCAACGACGTATGCCAATGTAAACGGCTCAAGCAGATGAGCCAACAGAAACAAGCGCTTAATAATCTGTTGAGTCAATGTATTAAAATGTACCCTTGTAGAAACTGCAAAAATCGTAGCAAACAACAATACCATAAGCGACCCTTCTTCAAACCTGCCGAGAAAATCGATGCGGTGTCGAAAACAAAACATCAGCATACACTGCTTTCAGTAGTTCTAATTAATAAATGAAGC